TGTTGATTTTTCAGTGCCCATACTGCACACCCAGTGTGTGACGACCCCTTGCTCTGTCTGCAGTGAAGCCGGTAGCCAGTCTCTTTGAATGGTGACCCTCCTTCCCAGGATTTTCAGATTCTACGCTTGAGTATTGGCGCTGGGCTTCTCTTAGACTTCATTTAAATCTAGTCATAGAATTCCAGACTTTTATTATAATGTCTTTGAATTTGTTTTCTAGTGTACTCCTATACAGGGGGTGTCCAAGTCCAATTTGAGGACCAATGATTTTCTACAAGTCTCATAGAACCTAGAAAAGTAGTTAGATACATGGCTGTGGTTGATTTTAGTCAAAGTAAACAGATTAAGACCAGCAGTGGAAAAGTTGCCATAGGATGGAGCCAGGATGAGATGACCTCAGCTTCTGGGATGTTCCCCAAGGTGTGTGGGGAGGTGATGTGGACAGTGTTTAGTTCTTCTAGAACAACATATGAATGACAAGATGTGCAACATTGCCAACCAGGGAAGCTAACTCCATCCTTGGTGTCTAGGGTCCTATGGGAAGAGATCAGGTAGGTATGGCTGATTCCCCATGTGGCCAATTTGAGTGTACAACCCATCCAAATGTCATACTCACGATTTGTGGCCCAAGGCTGCCACCAGAGAAACCCCATTGTCAGCATAGACCACCTTGGCTCACAACATCATGAAATGCAAAGGGCCTTTCATCAGGCATGACATTTGAAGGGGTCAGAGAGTGCCTCCAGTGAGCTGCTGAGCTGCATAACTCAGAGACACCGAATGCTCCCTGAGCTCTGTCCTCTCTCACTTTTCTGTCTTCTGTGGAACTGCCATATTGATTCCAGTGAACTCCACTGTCATCCCAGCCTCCCGCCGAACCCAGTGACTCTCATGCCTTTGGTTGAAGTCTCATCTCTTCCTGAGTTGGTATCCCTACAATCTGGTTGCCTTTTGCTTTCCCTGTCTGTCAGTTGTCTGAGTGGCTCCTTTGTGCCTTTCTCCCATTTGGCCATGTGCCGTGGTTAAACTTGATGTGGGTGCTGGAACACATTCCCTCGCCTGGCACGGCTCTGCTGCCTCAACACTACAACCTCCCCTCCTTGTCCCTTACCACTCAGCAGGAGTCTGCTCTTCCACATTCCTATTTTCCTTGGCAGACTTGATGGGAAGGGTATCTTTCAGTCTGGGGTCCCCACTGCTCTGTAGTCCCGACTTTCCCTCCTTAGCAGAATTGCTTTCTTTTGCCTGCACCTGTTCATGGTGCATTCCTGCAAAGCCCTGTCTCTGGTGGCCCTACACAGGGGTTTCCATCAGTTCACCAAACCCAAAGAATAGTTCCAGACTTTCATGCTTCGGCTCTGCCTGTGTTAAGCAGAATGGATCTTCACTTACCTCTAATGACTCTCGTGGATTCTCGATGAACTTGCTGTTTGTTTCGCCCGTGGCTCACTCAGTCAGACAAATGTCATCATCAGTTTTCCCATCCTACCCATCTCCTACTCATCCGTCAAAGCTCATGCCACATGTCACCTTTTCCAGGAAGTTTTTCTTGACTGCTTTATTTGCAAATAGCTTCTCCCGCTCCAGTTTCATAATGTCTGTTGTACTCTATAGCAGAAAAACCACACCGTGTTTTACGTGATCTCCTGAAGGATAAGCCCTTCGTAATTTATCTTCTGTCACTGTACGTGGCTGTGTGGACAGACTGTGCATGGCTACTGACTCCACGACTCACTGAGGACAAGACCTGTCCACTGCTAACATCTTTCAAGTTGGGAAACCTTGACCCTGCAGTTTATAGACTTCTTAAGCCTGTACCCACTGGGGTTTCTTTGTATCACACCCCTGGATATTATGATAGCAGGTGGTCAGTCTGTTTTAGTTTAATTTCCAGTAAGCTTTTAGTGTTCTGCAGCTTGAACTCTTGCTCTAAAATGTGCATTTCATTCTTGGATCTGCAAAGGCTGTTGTTCAGCAAAACTTTGGTCTCTTTGAGAATGTTTAAATCCACATCTTACCTCACTCTGAGGAGAGTGGGTACAGAGAAGAATGCACAGTTTAGCACAATGCCATGATACTGATAGGCACTTAGTAAGTTGCAATTGGTGCTTAAATTTTATTTAATCATTTGTATTTGAAGGTCACTATGGGAGTAAAACTTCTGGGAAAAATTATTTGCGAACCAAAGCATGTTCTAGTCATAGTTTAGTACTTACATTTGTGCATGTAGTTTGTTTTCTCCCAGAGTAAGACTATAATTTGGAGTTAGGTAGAGAACTTAAGAGGTTGTGTATACCGAGGTCAATACCAAGCAAAAAGAGAAAAGAGTGAAGTCAGTATGAAATGGAGTCAAATAGAGAAACAGATGTTAACAAACCCCGTGGGTGCGCCTCTGCAATTTTGTAATTCCTCACTTTTTTGACTTCCTTCTTATTTTTCTGGAAGCTCTTTCAGTGACCTGGGATTTACATGTTTGTACATGTATGACTTCACTGGGTCCAGGTCACATAGGCAAGCTGGGCTCCTTGAGCTGAAGGAACTGTCCTCTGTTCCTGCAGCTTGGCTGCTACTCAAGGGCTCAGAGTTGCTGCTGTGGTTCCTGTAGCTGAGCCCACCCACTTTGACTTGTGTGTGCTTTTGAACTGTACGAGTTCCTTCAGTGCGGGCAATGCCTGTTGGGGCCAGGCCAACTCTCTGGAGAAGGGTCTTGATGCTGCTAATATAGCTTTCGGGCATCAGGCTGGTAAACATCCTTTTTACTGTTGGTACAAACACAGGCCCAGTAAGAATGGTTTAGAATTATGCCTGAATCCTGTGGCTAGGAGAGACTTCCTCTTCAGATGTCAAGTCTTAAAAGGAGTCATATGTGAATCTGCATGTCACAGTTTTATTTTCATGAGGGATAGACTGGGTTTTACAATCTGAAAGTTATCCTGTGTCTGGATTGAGTAGGAGTGCTCTCTTCCTGGAATATCTGTTGATTGTGTCACCAATCCTTTTTGGCCCTTATGCCCTTTGTCAATTAAGAGAATGATCTGTTATGTGTGTGTAGTTCAGATGTCCAGCTGGTGTTCCTCATCAACATACCTATGACCACTCTAGGGGTGGACAGGAGACCTGTCATCCACTTCTAATTTGATTCTAACATACTGGAGCCACCAGACATTGCCAGGCATCCATAGTGGGAACCAGTGGGTCTGTCCAATTTTATTGCTTAAACTTTGAATATGATCTAAACAAGCAAATGCAAGGGAAATTTATTCCTAATTGTTATAGATTTCAGGACTCAAGAGAGTCAACCCATGTATTCAAACATGCGATTGAATATGAAGTCCTAACTAATGTTGTGTTGCCACACCCGAAGGAGATATTATTGGCGATGTGAGAAAAAGGAATTGGCTGTTCTGGTTTTTTTCCTGGACCAAGCATGCCTGTCTGCCTGGGGGACAGCTCCCTCACCCTTCTTTTGGCCTCAAAGAGTTGCATCTGCACCTTATCCCTTCCAAAGGATGATGTTACTGGCTTTCAAAGACCCCACTGAGACCTTGGAGTTGGCAATGCTACAGGACAGAGTTGCACCTGGACTGCTTGGGAGTCTTCATGGCAAGCTCTTCCAAGTGTGCTGCCTTGAGACTTCCTGACTTCCCTTGAACTCGCCAAAGTCCCTTCCTGGAAGCTAGAAGCCTCATGGAATGGCAGTGCCATTGTGTCTTGGCTCTGCAGCCCTGAACCTCAGGCCTTCCAAAAGGGCATTTCAGCAGACAGCGTTTTGTACAATTCCAGCTGTTGTGTTACAATTTGGGTTACTTTAATGAGGCTGGTGGGCTTTTGATCATGTCTCACATGAACCACATGGGACTCATTGCCTGGAGAAGCAGCCAGTTCTTTGGGGAGGCCCTTCCCCACTTTCTCTTCATCTTTCTCAGCTGCTCTTCGAGTGTGTGGGTGAGCACGGGGGATACCAGTGTGCTTCATGCTCACTCTCGCCAGACGCTGAGAGGGAAGTGGGGGACAGAAAGAAACTGGATGAGTGCGGAGAAGAGGACAGGCATGAGCCACACGAGCCAGATGTGCAGTGTTGGGAGTAACAGGTGCCCTTCACCGATAATGCACACAATAGTGTCTAGATAGCAAGTGGGAGGTCATGCATTTCCTCAAGATCTGGTGTGCACATTTGGTATTATAATAATATTTTCCTACATCGATATAATAAATTTAGCGAGACGATCCCTGAAGTGTTCTGGGTATTGGTGAAGTAAATTGATTTTGTGATAATTTTTCCTATGTTTCATAATTGTGCAAGAAACAAATGTGTAACTGAAAATACAAACACAAATTTAGATGCAGTTTATTATATGTCTTCTATCTTTCCTTTGTAAAATATTTTACTTTGGGTACCATTGGTTTAAAAAATGCAGTAGAGAAGCCATTTCAATGCGCATGTTTTTATTTTCAAACTGCTTAATTTCAGTGGATTTGAAGTAATAGTTCTTTTGCATATTTCATGAAATTTTTTTCACATGTTGAACAGCATGAAAATTTTTATTTTTCTGGGCTGGAGCGATGGCTCGGTGGTTCAGAGCATATACTGCTTTTGCAGAGGACCTGGAATCAGTTCCTGGCACCCATGTTGGGTGGCTCACAACAGTCTATATGTCTAGCACCTGGAGATCCAAAGCTCTGGCCTCTGCAGGCCCCCATGCTTACATACATGCATACATATAATTAAAAATAAGACGAATCTTAAACAAACCTAGCAGCAAGTTTTAGTTTCAGTTTTCCTTTTCTCAAGAAATGAAGCCATTGGAGTGCGTAGTGCTCAACGTGGTTCCTCATGCTTGTGATCCTCTCTGTCCTGTATCACTCTGCCCTGTATTGCTAGAGCAGCTTGTACTGGTCATGCAGGCTGCTGATGGAGCTTTCTAGTTGTTGGTAAGCAGCAATGTAGTGTCTTTTGAAGGGACTTAACAGAATCACTGTGTCTCCTTTCTTTGTTGAAGGGCTGCTGTGTGAGAACTGGGCTTGTGTGCCCACGTGGCTGTGAAGTTTAGTGTGACTCATGACCAAGGCCGTCCGACCTCTGCCTTCTCTCTTGGTAAGTAAGACACCTGCTTGGGAAGTATAGAAACCCAAATGTTACAGATTTAGATGTCTGCTGTTAAAAATGGAATAGAATACCAGCTTTCAGAAGGAGAATTTTGTAAGGTAAAGCTATTTGGGGCTGATCTCCCTGTGGAATCACTAGGGAACCTCAACGGTCATAAAAGGCACTGGTGACTCATGGCAACTCCTGGCCACAGTGTGAGTGCCTGTTGGGTTTCAGTTTTGTCCCCCCACAGCTATTCCTGTGCTCTGTCCTGGTTTGTTGTGTGACCTGGCACACTGTCATTTCATGTTTCCGTTGTGGGACTTCCTGTGGTGTCCTGTACCTTCTAAGAAAAGCCCAAAGTCCCCATTAAGTCCATAGTGTCTTACCTGGTCCGGCCTCCTGATGTTTGTTCTGATTCCAGTGGCCCTTGAGTAGCACAGAGGCCCACCGCTTTGCTTTCTGTAGCTCAGCCTCTACCCACTGGTCCTGCTTGTTGACCCATCTAAAAGCCCATTCAGATGCCCTACCTTCATGGGAAACCCTCTTAAGTGTCTTAGCCTCCTGTGATACCTGTGGCCCCTTTTGGAAGGACTGGGGGAGGGGGAGAAAACAGGGATGGGAGTGGGGGAGGGCTAGCAGTGAGTCAGAGGAAGAGGAGATACTGTAAATACTGGTCATGGGGAAGTTGACATTTTGTTAAGTTACTTCTTCCCCTAAGTAAGTCTCATGGTGGGCAAGTTTATACTGCTTTCCAATTCGAAAAGCAATTTGCTAGTAATCCCCAGAGGTGTATTCAGTGAGCTTGGATACTGCCACAGTTTTCGGACTGTGCACCAGTCCCCAGTTTACTTCCATCCTGAAGGTTACTAAATTGATCTTAGCGTTCGGCCTCAAGGTAGGTGGAAGTGTTTGACTAACACTGAATATGCCAGTCGATCTCCACATTCCTAAGATGGGCAGCCGTGTCTTCCTGCAGCTCACGTAGACAGGCTCCCTTGGCATCGGAAGTGTACTTTACCCTGGCACCTGGTGTCTCTGACTCTTCTCCATGGAGAACCACGGGACCTGAGGGCTGGAAGGGGCAGCAGAGGCCTTATGGAGCCCATGTAGGTTTTGCTGGGCACCAGCCCCTGTACTATGTGAGGTACATCAATCTCTTATCCAGCACTTTGAGGCAGGTGACATCGTGAGCTCTCTTTTAAAGATGAGGAAACTGAGGTTCTGAGTCAGTAATCTATCTTACTAGTCAAAACAGAGGAGAGAGGAGATTTGACTCTAGACTCAATCCTAACACAACACTGTCCACCTAGCACTGGGGTTTCTAGTGTAAGGACGGATATGCACTAGTACCCTTTTTTGCCCATTCCGTTAATACCCAGGTTCTTAAGTGTACAGTAAGTATTAAAGAATTGATTTTTCAGACACCATTCTAAATCAGTCATTGGCAAATTTCTTTTAGGAAAAGTAGAAAAAACCCATTTTAGTATCTGCAAGTGTTCGATTCTTCGTTGTATGCCCCTGACCCTGCCATTGCAATGCGGGCCACAGTAGCCAATTTACAAAGATAGGCCACAGATTGGTTGTGGTCCTTGGGCTGTAGTTGGCCGAGCTTTGAGCTATGTGATGCTTGTAATGCTTAAAGATCTCATACAGTGGACGGGCGCGTGTAGTAACCATTAAGTCCCTTAGCAAAATCCCCATTGGGTGCATAGAATTTTATCACAAATAAAATTTTAATGAAGTCTGCCGTGCCGTCCAAACCTGGAAATATATGCATTTAGGGCTTCGATGCTTGTTGCAGCCTATGTGCCCTAAGCCCGTTTGTGTAAATTCTGGCATCTAAGCCATAGTTTGCCCAAAGCAGGACCTGAGGACCATTTTTGTCTTGATGTGTTTTGTTAATCTAGAATATGCAGCTCATTTACAGAGCAAGTTCAGACAGCTTCTCCTAATTAACAGTGTTCTGTCATTTCAGTTCTGTGCTCTGTGCATAGTACTCCTTATACACATAGGACCAACATGCAGTCATTTTTGGTTGTCATATAATTATGTTGAACAAAATGTTGCGCTATCAACTACGTTTATTTTATGAAGAGCAAAGACGGGTAATTACAGAAATCAAGTTTGCACAGGATTGATATGTTTTAAAACACAAAATAAATTGGCAGTTCTTTCTACCACATGTATCCAGATGAGCATGTCCATTTCTTAAAAAAATATTTTTTCTTATAAATCAGCTCTCTAACATCTTAAGGAATATTTGACTATGTTGAATTTTTATCATCCAAAAAGATGAGCATGAAAGTTGAAAGACCAATTATTCTGTTTTTTAAAGGAGTTGCAGATGGGCAGTTTTTTTTTTTTTTTTTTTTTTTTTTTTCCTGCCAAGGAGCCACTAGCTTCTGTATGCTTTATACATATTGAAAATGTGCTCTCCACCTCAATAATGAAAACAAAAAGTAAAATTCAGACTATTCGTGGAATCAAAACTAGGAAAAGTAAATTGCAGAACAATACACTTAATTTAGTTTTATGTATCTTAAAATACATTCATATGCACATAATCTGTATATGTAAGTTCATATATGAAATAAAGTCTATCAGAATATATATTGCTATATAACAAACTCTGAAGTCCATAGTTGAGGAGTTTGTATTTTTAATTTTTTGTGGCATTTATTTAGTGTGTGTGTGTGTGTGTGTGTGTGTGTGTGTGTGTGTGTGCATGCCATAGTGCTCAGCATGTGGAAATCAGAGGATAATTGTCAGGAGTCAGTTCTCTCCTTCCATTGTGTGGATCCTGGGGATTGAACTTAGGGTCTCAGGCTTGGTGGAAAAGGCCTTTACTCTCTCACCCATCTTACAGTCCCCCAAGGAATTTTTTTTATCAGTAACATATATGCAGTTAAAATGAATATGTTAAATATTTTAATGTCGTGAATACCAAGTGTGGACTATATGTAGTTAAAGGGACAGATTCACCAATAATGCTAGTGAAAGATAACCATTGTTGCGTTTAACATGGTTTTCTTCAGTATGTCTTCAATGGGCAACTGATGGAGTTAAAATGCACTGGACATAACTTTTTTTTTTTTTTTTGTCTTTTTGAGCCAGGGTCCCCCTGTACCTATAGCTGTCCAGAAAATCTCTATGTATACCAGGCTGGCCTCAATCTCACAAAGGTCTTTGATATTTCTCCTTAGTTGGGCACGATTGTTCTGAAGTGATCATGAAGAGAGGAAAGGGACCCATACCATGCCATGTATACCTGGATTGCACTGTCCAGAATTGTGCAGATGATATTGTCGTTTTATTTGTGAAGCTTAGCTATTTGGCACATGAAGCAGTACTTTGTGAGCAGAAAGAGTGAGATCCCAAAGGCTTCATTTAATGGAAGGTTGATTCTTTAGGACAGAATAATGGTAGCTGCTTCAGTATTTTAAAATAAGTCTTAATAATACTGTCAGTTGGCTTCTTAAAAGTGTTAACAGATATTTATACTCCATGAACAATATGTTAGAGAGTTTGTTTTGATGAAAACACTACTCCCACTGGTAGCATCGTTAAACTATTATGTCAATATGATGGTACTCCTTCCTTTTTTTATACATTTAATTCTTTTCTTATTTAGTTGAAGTCATTTAAGCGATAATTAGCTGCCACGCTAAGAAAGAGGAAGCATGTGTACAGGTCCCACATCCCGCCTGGTTGTTGAGAAGCAATGCTGTATGAGCATGTTTTAGGACTAGATTTTAAGGATATTAACTCATTTTATTTCTTGTATTATTCTTTTTATGGTTTAACTTTTTGACTTTCTATACTAATGGTTTTTCCGATCTTTTGTTTATTCGCTTTATTTTTTTAAACTTAAAATTTATTTTAATGGTGCCATTTTTTTCCAATTTATATTTCAATCATTGCTTTTAAGCATTTAATTGAGTTTTTTTTTAACTTTTGATCTTATTGAAATTTTTAACTTTTGATTCAAGGGACAGTTACTTAAAAAGAGATAATACTTTAAAAATTGTTCCCATAGTTTAATTCTGCCTCTTTTTTCAAAAAGATTTTATTTTGTGTGTGTGTGTGTGTGTGTGTGTGTGCACACGTGTGCATGTGTGTGTGCCAACTAGTATATGCACATGCATGCAGGTGCCTGCAGAGACTAGATGAGGGTGTGGGATCCCTTGCAGCTGGAAATGAAGTTAGGAAAGCAGCTGTGGTACTGTGAGAGAGGACTTTGTTCTTGTGCTTCATACAGGTAGGAGAGGTGCCTGCTCTCCTTTCCCTCATCTCTTGATAGAAGCCTACTTACAATCCTCAGCTGAAAGTCGTTCATGATTTCATATTTCCTCTTTGTTCAGAGCAGAGTAACTCTGCACTTTGGGGTAGTCCATAATACTTATCTATCATTTTAACAACTATAAATATAAACGTAAATACATACAGATGTGTACAGATGTTGTTACAGATTGCATTCTGTTGCTCTGAGCAAACACTGGACTTGGGAGGAAATGGTTCATCTGGCTTACGGGTTACCGTCATCATCAAGGGAAACCAAGGCAGGAGCTTGAGGCAGAGCTCATGGAGGAATGCTGCTGCCCTGGCTTCCTCGGCGACTGGTATTGCACAGCCCAGGCTCATGCACCCAGGGCTGGCCTAACCTGCCGTGGGCTGGGTCCTCTGTCCTCACAGATGTGGCCGCAGGTCCGTCTGATGGAGGCAGTTTTTCTGGTGAGAGTCCCTCTTCCCTAGGTTAGTGTCAAAATTCACAGCTGACTGTAACTGTGACAGATATATAAGCCATTATGCTGGCCATTCTTTTAAACATTTTATTAGCATACTTAGTTATACATAATGACATGTTCGTGACATTTTCATGCATATACATAGCATATTCTGATCACTTTTAATTCATTGTAACAATTATGTTTTTGCCCATTCTTGTGTGTCGCTTTCGGTGTTTTCTGTAAATGTTTCTGTGGTGCGTCCAGGACTCTGAAGTCAGG